CATAATATACTTTTATGTACCGGTATTTATAAAAGAATTTAAAATATCGTAAGGTGGTAAGCTATAGCTTAGTATAGGTACTGTTAATGGTCCCTTTTATTCACTAAAAATTAAAAAAATAGAACTTTAAACGCAAAAATGATACTTTAACAAATTTAATCATTTACATACAATATGCAAGGATTGGTCCTAGGGGGACACCATTATTTAAATCTACAGGGTTTGACAGTAACTTCAACCCATTTGAGTTTAATTTAACAACCTGCTTTCTCTTTGACATATAGGAATTAATGAACTCCCCCATATTTTTTTAGCTTAACAGAAAGTAAATCTTTATCTATACAATCGAAAGCCTTAGGTAGGTCCAAAGAAGGCAGCTATTGCTAAAGTTTTACTGTTCCATAAATTAAGAATGTGGTTTATTAAATTAAAAATTGCCGTAGCCATATTGAAAATTAGATATTATTTTATATTTTTTACAGCAGTTTATTAGTCTAGAAGATATTGTTAGTTCTACATACAAAGATATTGGCCGATAATTATCAAAATCATTTCTTTTCCCTTTTTATGCAAAGCTATAACAACTGCAATCTTTAACGAATCCGGAAATTCCCAGTTAAATAACATAAATTTATATGAGGAGTGATTTTTCAAAAGGTCGTATTACCATTTGCAACAATTTTTCAAAAAAATGACTATAACCTGTATAGGTTAGGGCAATATAGATTATTTAAAAACAAATTCTGATGAATATTTAATAACACTTCAGACCTGCTGTCATATTTCGCCGTTAATATATGCCTTTTAACCATACCTTTGGGATTTTGTCAAAAAATTACATTAAAGTAAAAATGGAAATAAGGCCTTAAGAAAAATCACTCCTCATATATGGCTAAGAGGAGCAGCTATAGCATTTGTTTTATTGACAATCTTACCCAACAATAAAACACTTACTGTTTTTTTAAAATAAATTATTTATCACCCTTTTTCAACTAGAAAAAGGAGAAGAAACAAAATGTCTATTTTAATTTAAGTATAACATTTTGACGAGTCGCTCATGCTTTTATCTGCAATCGCGGCAATCCGCGTCCATAAATTCTGTTAACGCGCAAGCTAGATCATAGGAGGCCGATATTAATAACCCTCTTTTGTAATTATTGCCACTCCCTACTTTACCGACCGCGGCCGGTCAACCGACCCGCGCCTTGGCTCTGCAACAATGTTTGGTTGGCTTGCGATTTTCACGAGTTCAAACACAGTGAAAATATAAGACAAAAAAACAGATGTTGTAAATTAAAATTATATAGGGGCAAAATATCTTAAAAAGGTTCTGGCTAACCGGCTCTAGAAGATCCCCGCGTTATCAATCTGTTTCCTTTCTATCAATTGCTTTCGAAACTGGAAATGAAGCAAATCCTAATGCTTTTGCATAATTTTATTTAAACTTCTTTACCAAAAGACACATAATAATTGTAGCAAGAATGGTACCACCAAGAACTGCCAAAAAAACCATAATCTTTTTATTTAGAGTTTTCCAGTAAAAGTCGTATGATAATTTTATAGGGTTACAGTAGTGATGTGCTGTATAAGCCATATCCGTTGTTACACGCACGCTATCAATGTTTTCAATATGATTGCATATAAATTTATTATCAATTAGATCATTATTATTGAGCATATCTAATCTCTTTACGGTGGTATTTTCAAACGAATTCTCGTCAACCAAGTTTATTTTGTTATTGGAAAAATCAATTTCCTCCAATGTTAAATTAAATGTGCTTATACAATTAACAGTTTGTATTTTGTTTTCGTTAAAATTCAAGTGGGTTAGGAATTTAAACTCGTTAAAAAATGACAACTCAACTTCTTTTAAGTAATTCCCCTGAAAATTAATACGCTTTAATGATGGAGTTTTTATAAATATTTGTTCTTTTATTTCTGTTATTTTGTTTTGTGATAAATCAAGCGCTTCCAACCTTGGTAGATCTTTAAAAGCGCCCTGGGCTATAGTCTCGATATTATTCATTTTTAATATGATTTCAACTATTGGTATGTTCACGAACGTGTCCATACGAATGTTTTTTATGTTATTTTCTTGTATATCCATCGAAACTACTTTGAAGTTCTCCATAAAATGATTCTGTACTTCCTGAATTCCACAATTTCTCACAATTAATGTTATTATTTCTTTTGTATCCGGGACTTTTTGGGAACACAGCTTGATTATGTTTTCATTTTCAAAGACATTTTTAGTACCACTTACGTAAGTGCAATCGTCCGATTTTACTATTAATATACCGCAAAGAAAAAATATGCACCGAAACATCATATTTAGGAAGAATTTGACAACATTAAAACAGTTGTTTCGTGACAAACGATACTAAGGGTGAAAAAATAAATATGTTCTTTTTGCATTAAATCTGATGAATTTTAAAAGAAAATATTCCAAATTATAATGTGCGACAAAAAAACTGCAACAAACGCGTAATTTTTAAGTTAACTAGTTTTCAAAATCTGTACTCAAGTGAACTGGGTGAATGATCATTGTGCCTCTGACTAATAAACTAATTAAATCAAAGAATAACATTTTCAAATATTTTGATTTCAACACAAAACTTTATTTAACACATATTTTTTGTTGTACGAGGTGTGTTCAGAAAATAACGGGAACTTTTAAATTTCGCAGGTTTGGAGAGTCCGCGGTTGTCATAAAATTGTCTTAATTATGTTGGTATACATAACCCTGTAGAATGATAAAAAATTTAAATGTTTTCATTGTTTACGTTGTCTGTGGCAGCCGCTTAGGTTAGACGTGTTTTTATGAGCTCGGCGATTTTCGTTCGTTAAAAGAAATGGATCAAAGAATTTGTATCAAATTTTGAGTAAAAAATGAAATAAAGTGTATGAAATATTAAGAAAGGCCTATGGTGAGTCTGCTATGAGTAAAACAAGAGTTTAAAAGTGGTATATAAGTTTCCAAGATGGCCTTAAAGGACGCTCAAGCACATTAACAACCGATAAAAACATGGAAAAAGTGGAAGAAATGGTTATGAGCGATCACCGAATCATGTTGTCATATCGATGAAATTTTTTCGAATGTTTTGGGTATGAAACGCGTGGCAGCAAAATTTGTTCCAAAATTGTTGAATTTTAAACACAATTTTTTGCCAAAAACAATACTGTAATGATGCGGCATCATTGATGCCCCAGCCTACATATTCGTCAGACATGGCTCCGTCTGACTTTTTACTATCCCCAAAATAAAGAGAACCTTAAAGGGCAGTCGTTTTGCAAGCACAAATGACATTAAAAGCGCATCGCTTAAAGAACTATAGTCTTTAGTTCTCCCAAATATCGTGTTTGAGAAGAGTTTAGAGGATTAGAAGAAGCGCTGGCACAAGTGCATAATATCCAATAGGGACTATTTTGAAGGCGACAACTTTAATGTAGACGAATAAATAAATATTTTTTTCAAAAAACGAAAATTCCCGTTATTTTCTGAACACACCTCGTATAGAGTATTTTTTGGTACACTATTATTCACATTTGTATTAATTGATTCAAATGATTCTTTACCGAAACGTGACATTTTTAATAAGTGTCACATTAAAATAAAAACTGACGTTATTTTTATTAATTGCCATGTACACGTATATACAATGGAATTATCGATTTCTAGTGGACAATTATCGCTGTAATTAAGTGATAATTGTCTTATAGGCATTTATAATATAATTATCGATAATATATCGATATTATGATATATCACGTTGTAACACCCGAAACGAAAAATCATGTAATTGTTTTATTATTATTCCTTAGATTGATTAGTGTAATAGCATTTAGTAAAAGTAAGGTTATGGTGGTAATAATTTAAAATACAAACTAATATCTGAGCATAAGACTAATTTGATTTTATTCTTGATTAAAAACTGAAACGTTTCGGGTGTTACTACTTTTTTTATATGTCGATATATGTGTGTGTATTGCTTGAAGGCTCTTTCGACGGCCCACTAGCGCCGCCATCGGAAAAGCAGTCACAATTCTTTTAAAGAGGTGTGTTCTACCAAAATGGCAACGGACCTACCAAAATACCGAATACTACAATTTTCGTCAATAATTATGTTTCTACAGATTTTTGGCAATAATAACGATTTTACCCTTTTTGCCGATTTATTAATCGTACCCGAAGCTGCATAAGTTATGTTAAACGAGAATTCATTCTATTTATGTTTATTTGTTACTTACTTATTTTGTCCATGTAATGTGTTTAATTTTTTTACTTGTAATACCCGAAACAGAACCATGGTAACACCCGAAACAAAGTAAAATTTTATAAAAAAAATTATTTGTGACAGTGATTATGTGGCAGATGTTTCCTTAAGAAAATTCGCTGAATTTCAAATAAATGTAACAATGGTCAGGACATAGAAGCAGAATTGTGAAACACCCGAAACACGCACTTTTCGACTTATAAAATCGTTATTAGGTATATGCTAAACTGTACTAATTTTACAATTTAGATAGAACAGCTAAAAACGTAACACCCGAAACGATGGAATGACCCTTAATAAGAAGTTACAATTTTTGTTACATTTGCTTTTCTAGTTTGCTGTTAGGTGAAATAATATTAGCACGACATAAATTAGTATTTCCCAACTAACTACCGACCCGAGAAAATTATCTTTAATTATATCTTTTGCTTCGTTCAGTAATGTCTATAGCAGGGAAGTGCCTACCTAATTATATTAGTTTCCGATGTATGTAGTATACCATAGTTTATGGTAGTAGGTACCTATGTTTCGAGACCTGCAATTTACTTATTACTATATGAACTGTTTCTGTAATAAGTGAGCTCATATAAGATGTTTAAAATAGTTAAGTTCCTTTTTATGCCATACTTGAGCCATTGCATATTTTTTAGATCAAATCATCTTAGCCTCATAGATCATGATATGTAAAGTCAGCTTGTCATAAACGTAAAACTTCATGAAATTATAATGTCTGTAACAGAGGAAAATGATGAGAATGCAGCGGATTTCACCACAAATTTGGACAAGGTGGACACAATGCTTTTTGAACATTTCATTCAGGGGCAAAAAGGCGGTAGTGCTTTTTTTAAGGACAACGTGAGAAAAGTTCACTTTATTTTAGTTTTGCCCATGAGAACGGTATACAACGAACCCGAAGTTATTGAATTCTATATACGAACTTTGGAACTTCGTGGACTTGATTTTGAACAAGAAATCGGAGTTGTAAGATGCATTGCTTGATAGGTAGTGTTAATTAATTATTTGTTTCAGACAGTACCGGTTGTTTTTATTAAAATTCACATCAGCGATAAAACAACCAAACATTACATTAACATTTTTAAGAAGAGAGAGTTGTATTTAAAAGACTTTGATTATAAAGATCCATTTCCGGATCGATGCAGCTGGTTTAAAAATGCCCTGCTTAGTAGAAATGTTTTTCAGGATGCAGAGTATACCTATCAAGTATACTGCTCAAGGAAATTAGAGGAGCCCATATTTGAAAGACTCTTGTGGTTTTAATAAATGACAAACTTTTGTGGTTTATTGCCTCACAACCAGAAACAAGATGTTAAATTCTAATTAACAAAGAATGCTTCGATGTCTTGTGGAATGTCTCCCATTTTTCCACAAGAGCCTTGGCTAATTTTGGTACGGTTATAAGTGCAGCAGGACGCTTTCTAATAACCCTATCAGGCCCATCTCCTGGATTTATTGTTCCCGGAGATTTGCCGTATGAATTCTTCAGTTATTTGGTATGTGTACCAAAGTCTGCAGATGACAGATGAACTAGCCTGGAGTTCATTTGCTACGTGGACTTTGCTAAGGGCAATAAAAACTGATGTTTTACTTGTACCAAGGACTTCTTGGATGCTTTTTTTAAATTCGCTTAATGGCCAAGAAAACTTTGTGTTTGGTATAGTTCTCAGTTTTTTGCTGCTATTGAAGTAATGTCCAGCGAATCATAAATCATTTATTACAAAAAATTGGAGGCTTCTAAACATGGTTCCGCTAATTTCATTGAGTAATGAATTAATGATTATTAAATGTGATTCAAAATTTTAGACATAGTACCTTATCGGCAACTAAAATATCAATAATTCGCCAACTGTTAAACTATGGGCAGTTTGGTGCCAGTTCGGAAGAACGAGGAATTGATATTTTAATTAAAAATGGTACTATTAAGGAGTATTATGCTCTCCATGATGGAGCAATCCAAATAGAGTATTGGAACAACGATGACCTATTAAATGAAAGAACGGTATACATACAATAAATTGTCATCCTTTGGGGGGATGATAGTACAAGCCAAAACAAGAAAGTTTTTCATTTTTGCATTAGAGCTACTCCATCATTGTTTTTACCTTTAAAAACAATGATATTATTCATCCAAGCAAAAAAGACACAGGTATGCGCATTAGGGTGTTTCAAAAAAATCGACTTTTTCTTTTTCTTCAAATGGTCGGCAAATTCTTTCAGAGGATGTCAACACAAAGACCTCGTCAAAATTTGAGCTTTTAATTTGAAGATTTAGAGGTCGCGGATCGCAATTTTCTATTTCCCATTTAAATAACATGGGAATTTTTTTTTTTAACTTTGAAATTTTATACGTCTGAATCAAATCAACTTATGTCAAGGATCATCTTAGATTTTCATAGTAAATTTAACGCTCTACAAAAAAGGTCTCCTATCATTTTTCTATAAATTGATTCCTTCCAGAGTTATTCGATGCCAAAGTTTGATTTCCATCGAATTTTCGTGTTTTTTTAACATTTATGGTACAATTATCATTATACGGGTGTCCCGAAATCAGGGGGCCAAACTTAAACAGTGCATTATTCGTATAAAAATAACACTTTTTTTGTTTAATAAACATGTATCAAAAAATGCTCCCTAAAGGAGCTACGGCCCCCTGAATAGGAGCCTAAAAGGATATTTTTTTTAAAACTATTCCTAGAGGGTTGAACATGAACAAATGAATTTTCGGTACCTACTTTGGTAATTTTGACATGCTGAATCTAGATCTATGATCAAAACTGTTAAAATTTAATCATAGGCGTAACATTTGGAGGGGGCAAAGTTACAAAAATAGCCCCAACTTTTTTCTGGGTTAATAATTTTTTTTTTATGAAATTATGAGAATTTATAGTTTTTTACGAAAAATAGGTACTTTTAATTTGAATTGCTCAGATGCACCATTTTCGAGAAAAATGCATTTATAAATAAATTACTTTGCATATTAAACACATCTCATATTTTCATTAAAACTTTGTAGTAGGCTTTGGAAAAAAGTGACGTTTTTTTGTTTTTTTACAACACTTCCTATGTTTCAGATATAAATATGTGATTTTTTTACTACATGATGCTAAAAGTTGAAAAAAACGAGAAAATTCGATGGAAATCAAACTTTGGCCTCGAATAACTCTGGAAGAAATCAATTTATAGAAAAATTATAAGAGACATTTTTTATAGAGCGTTAAATTTACTATAAAAATCTAAGATGTTACTTGCCATAAGTTGATTCGATATAGACGTATAAAATTCCAAAGTTAAAAAAAAAAAATTCCTATGTTATTTAAATGGGAAATAGAAAAGTGCGATCCGCGACCTCTAAATCTTCAAATTAAAAGCTCAAATTTTAACGAGGTCTTTGTTTTGACATCCTCTGAAAGAATTTGCTGACCATTTGAAGAAAAAGAAAAAGTCGATTTTTTTGAAACACCCTAATGCGCATAGTGTATTATGTTATATCAAGCAAACTTTTAAACTTATTCAAAATCGGTTAGTAAATACTTTCTTATCATTGATTACTGACAGTTTAGTTGTTATTGTGGTTTCTCTGGGGCTACATGAACAGTTTAGTGTACCAGAGCGAAGTTGACACATTAGAACAACTCCGCGAACTTGTCACTGCAGCGGCAGATGAAATCCGAAATCATCCGGATATGATAGCAAGAGCGACACATCATAATTTTCTACGCCGCTGTCAACTTTGTGTGGATAATAACGGCGGGATTGTTGAACATTTATGATTCTATGGAACACTTAAAAAAATAGCTACACTGAAAAAAAAGATTTCTTACATTTAGAATACCAATCATCTTGAAAATATTTTTTTAATTCAAGTCAACTTGCTTTAAAATAAGAATATATGCTTCAATTAAAAATATTTAACTTCTTTAAAAAAGAATTTTGTATTTTTGGAAATATTCTAGTATTAAGAAACAGGTTCTTGTTTTAAAAAGTTGCATGTTTTAATTCAAATATTAAATATTCTTGAAGGAAATCTAAGTTGGTTTCTTGGTACAATTGTTAATATTTTTATATCAAGAATACGATATTTTTAATTTTTTTATATTAAGAAATAGATATTCTTAAATTTGTTTATTTGTTTTTATAAACAGTATTTTCTTTTGCCAAGAATACATATTCTTAAAACTGTGTAGAAGTGGGGATGCCGACACGTTCCTCTTAAATTTTATGCCTAATTATGCAGTGTTTCTTTGTTTTTGTAAAAAATATATATTCTTGCTTTTAAACAATCAAAGTTTTATTTAAAGAAATTTAATTTTCTTACATTAAGTAAATATTCTTGAAGTAAATCAACGTGAATTAAGAAAATACTTTTCTATTTTAAAGAATATATTCTCTTCGTTATATATGAGACACAGATTGTTTTGAATCAAATAAATTTATTTGATACAAGAATATTTTTTTTTCAGTGTATATGAGCATCAATCGACGTAAAAACTGAAAGGTGAAATTTAAAATCAACGGGAAAACCACGGAAACCTCGAGATACCCAAGTATTGTTTTATTATTAGAGTGATATTAATATCTCATGGCGGTTGACCTTGAGAGACGCTATAATATTTTGACAAATATAATAGAATTTCTAGCCCAGAAATTCTTTTAAATATGTCAATAAATATCAGCATTGTTTACCCTATGTAGTATGTTTTTAGGTCGGCGAGTAATAGCGCGATTTGACGGATTTGAGACTTTTGCGCACCCAAGGTCATCCGCCATGAGATATTAATAGCACTCCACCATGCACTTTTCCACTTTTCCAATTATGACATATTCTCTTATAATACCGGCCTCGGTGGTGTAGTGGTCAGAGCTCCTGGGTACGAGCCGAGAGGTCGTGGGTTCGAATCCCACTTGGGTATGGTTGTTTATTTGTGTTTGTCCATTGTGTATAGTCCTTCGGAGGGGACTTTAAGCCGTCGGTCCGTTCCTACCCCTAACCCGCACAAGCCATTCAGTTGGCTTATGTGACATCTTAGTTTGGATGTAAGGGTGGTAAAAGAGCACTTTATAACTTTATAACTTGTATTACAAAGGAAGGTGGTTAGAACTGTAGCCGGACTTGGATATGGGGAATTCCCATCAGCATTTATTCTGCAAAATATCTTGCATGTCAAAAAACATTTATCTAATTATAAAATACACAACTGTTCACCAACATCATACAAGAAACAAAGATGATTTAATTGTGAGGTTTTCAAGACTTTCGAAAACTTAACATGGGCCAGAGTACCATGGAGTAAATTTTTTTAATAAACTTTTAAATGAAAGAAAAAATTGAAGCTTTGATGACTCGCAAAGCATATTACAGTACAGATGAGTTTTTGAGTGAGATTTGGGATTAGCTTATTGGCAGCTCTTATATTATGGGTTTATTTTATTTTATATTTCTATTCTATTTATAATTTATTTATATTTGTATCTATTAATGTTTATTTCTCTGCATTGGCATTGTACACCCACTGGTTTAGCACTTATAAAGATTATTATTATTATTATTATTATTATTCAAAGTAACTAAAAATAGCTGAGGATGCAAAACAAAACAATTATCAACAAAGTAATCAATGATTACATAAATAAATTTTATTGCCCACTGTGCAAGCATATTTTGCGACAGTTGTCATAGGTCAGGAACAACCAGTGGCGGCCCAAAATTTATACTCTACTTATAAAAATTGTAATGATTTAAACAAAAAATGGCACTAGTAGTTAAGAGAGCGGGTTTCAGCGTTTCGGCACTAATGCATAAATGATGGAAAAACTTTCTTATTTTGGCGTGTACTAGCATCCCCTTAAAGTATGACAACTTATTTGGTGACACCCTATAAAAAGACATTGTTATTGACCCTTTACTATATTTTTTTATCATAGTTGTTGGCAAAATACTGGGCCAACTACAGCAGTTTTTACAAAGAACAACCTTTGGACTT